GCTGTTGAGCGGGGATATGCGCTATAAAAATGCTATCTATTATTATTATTATTATTATTATCTATTTTTGTCCTCTGCTCTCCTCAGATTGTCACCCATCGTCTTTCCCGTCCACTCTGTAATGTTGTCCTCCCATCTCCTTCTCTGCCTTCCTCTCTTTCTCTTTCCTTGTACGGTTCCTAAAACTAGCTACTGAGCAGATAAATCGGAAATTCTGCAGTTGTGAAATCTCACCACAGCCAAAAATGGACAAGTACTGATGATGGAGGCTCTCGTGGCCTAGCTAGAGCTTAAGGTGTTCACATCTCATTCAAAATTCAAAGGTCCCTGGCTCGAATCCGGGTAGAGACGGAAACTTTTTTGGGTCTAAAATTGTCTCCTTTCGCCTCCTCTCCTGCTCTCCAGCAATGTTCTGTCATCTGCTTTCGTCTCCACTTTCTGCCCTCACCCCCTCACCTCCTTTGCCCTCTCCTCTGGGCTCCTGACTTTTTCTGCTACTTTTCTACTGCTTCTCCTTGGCTTCTTCTTACTGCTGTCTTTCAGCCACACCCCTGATCTTCTGGTAGGAAAGATCTACACCTAGCCTTCTCAGACAAGGGCAAAAAATCTCGGAGGGCCTGTGTGCAAGTTGCGCTCGTTAAAGATCCCTCGGTTGTCTAAAATCGATAAGACTAGGCATTGGCCGCCACCCGGGCAAAATTCAAAATTTCCTACCAACTGAAAATGTTTAATGTGTCCCGCGCGCTCATGGACCTTTTGCAGTTGCGAGCGCTGTTTACTTATCAAAAAATAACAACAACAAAAACAGAGGTACTGATGACGCAATCAATCCATGCTAAAACTGAGTACGTACTCCTTGCGGTTGCTATGGACGCTGTAGGCACCAATGATCACTCTGCCGGGCGGGACCTGGAAGTTCATGGGTGCATCCCAGTCGTTCACCCAATTTGTGAGGTAGCAATTCGTGATGGATCTCCCTTGATGAAGAAAGAAAATGATACATTGTTAGAAAGTTGTTACAAGATAGCATTTGTATAGCGCAAATCCCCTCTCAACAGCAAGCTCTATGCGCTTAGAAAGTTTTTTTTATAGCTTTCTTTCTTGACAAAGATAGGAAAAAAATGTTTCTTTGGAAAGTTGTTTATAGCTTTGTTCCTTGACTTTTATAAAGAAATGTTTTTCAGAAAGCTGTTTGTTTTGCTTCAGTAAGATTTTACGGCGCTCACAACCGCACAAGGTCGTGTGAGCGCCAAGGGGTGGATGTGAACAGCGAAGTCGAAACGAGGAATCAGGCTTACTCTGCTCACCTCTCTACTTGCCTCAACAACACAAAGTCTGCTTCGACTATCAAGGCACCCGGGAAAATATCAGTTCACAAGAGTATGATAAACATACAAAAGAAGTAGAGGAAAATGACGACAGTACGGATGAGGAAAGAAAAAGCAGCAGTCCCCCCTATGTTGTTCCGGCACAGTATGAGCATGACATTGATATATCAGCCCATTTACAATTCTACTGTTCATAAGAACTAGTTAATAT